CAATCAAAAAAAAAATAAAAAAAATAAAGTGAAAAGAATGATTTCCGTTTGTGATTTTTTGTTTCTGTTTGCTGAAAACTTTCAAATATTTATTTTTTAAAACTTTGGAGATATTTTTTTATGAGAAAATCAGTAGAAAAAAAAAACAAAAAATCTACCCACACAGAAAGTGATGGGTTATTTTTCATTTTATGGTNTATATGAATTTCAAACTAGATAAACAAATGCAAAGTCCAAAAAAAAAGAAAATGATGATCCAGAAAGAAAAAGAAAAAAACTTTAATTTCCCACGTGTATCATAAAATGAACATAGCATCCATATTTGCTTTTGCATCTATACCGTTGTCGATTCATTCGATTCGATTCATTCATTTTTCGTTTCGATCCAGATGGAAAAAATATTGTTTTTTTTAACCATATTGCTGCATTTGCAGAATAAAAAAAATTCACGACAATATTTCTGCCAAAACAAACAAAAATCATCATCATCGATTGATGAAACGCTTTGGACAACAAAACAAAACAAAAAATGAAATGAAAGAATCATTTTTCTTTACCCGAACAAATTATTATTACGATGACGACAATGATAACATTGATATTATATTAATTGTTTTCGATATATGATTTGTTTGTTTGTTTGTTTTTCCTTTTTGGATTGATGAGAAATATATGTGGCTTCTTCTTCGCTAAAATGAAAAAAAATTGCTACATTTTTTCTTCACAAAACGATGATTGTACAAATGTTGATCGAATCAATCATCAAAACCGATGAAAAAACAAACTTTTAACGACAATAATTTTGTTACACAAAAGCAAACATACAAATGATGATCATCATCATCGTTTTCAATCAAAAAAATAAAGTGAAAAAAAGGACTTCCGTTTGTGATTTTTTTTCTGTTTGCTGAAAACTTTCAAATATTTATTTTTTAAAAACTTTGGAGACTTTTTTTTCAGAAAATCAGTGAAAAAAAATGTAAAATCTACCCACACAGAAAGTGATGGGTTATTTTTTATTCTATTAACACCAACACACACACGAGGCTAAACAAAAGAAACAGAAATTATTAATTTACGTAGTTTTTTGTTGATGAAACGTGATCAAAATAATTTTTTTTGTTCAAAAACCAGTGTAAATTACAATGGAAAAATTGTAAATTATGAAATTGTTTTGCTGCTTTCTTGACCTATCAAACTTGGTAGTCTTTTTTTTCCTGAAATTTTCAATAAATTTATTGACAACGTTGAAAAATACGGTTTATTTATTTTATCTTCCAATTTTTTGCATAATTGAAAAAAAAGGATTCATAAACCCTTGTTTGCGTGTGTGTGTGTGTGTGTGTGTGTGTGTGTGTGTGTGTGCCAGTGTTAAGTGTGTCCGTTAAGTTTTTTTGTCCAAGATATTATTGTTTATCACCCGATTTTTCATTGATTCTAATTTATGTTTTTTTTTGTTTATCATTTTTTCTTCGGTCAATGAAAATATAAAAATTTAATGCTTGACTGAGCCAGCCAGAAAAAAAAGTTCAATTTCTCTCATTCTCGGTTATTACTGAATATGAAACAAAAAAATGATATTCAATTCTTATTATTTAAAAGTCTATTTAGACTTTTATCGTCAGGATTTACTTTTGATAATATTTTTTTTCTCTCACTCTGAAATCATCATCATATTAAATATATGTGTGAGTGAAAATAAAGAGACAGTAAGATTTTCCTTCCTTAAAAAATTCCTCACTTTCTAAATGTATGATTCTTCTTCTTCACTGTTTGTTTGTTGGCAATTCAGAATTTCTTTTTCTTTCTGCAAAATCAAAACTAATTTATTGGCTAAACATGAATGGCTATTGAACACATACACAAACACCGTCCTGGAATCATAAATTGGATGACCATTTGGTTATTTTTTTCTTTCCTTTTTTGATTTTCACTGTAATCGAAATCCAGAAAAAAACCATGAAAGTTTTTGGCCTGAATCAGAGTTTTGTATCGAATTCAACCGCCCGTTGTTTCGATCATCATTGTTTTTTATCATCGTAATATTTTATGCATAGAATTTGGCTATCGTTTTCATTTTGTTTTTGTTTTGTCAACCAAAACAAAACAAAAATCGTAATCATCATTCAATTCTCGACATACAGACAGTGAATCCAACAGTTGATTGAAATCGATTTTTCTGTTCACCAAGGACGATCAAATCAAATCAAATCCAATCAAAACACATATTGTGTTTGCATTTTCTTGTTCTTTTTGCTACTGGATGATGAAAATTTCAATGAATAATTGAAAAAAATTGATCAAATACGGGAATTGAATTTTTTTTTTTTTGAAATTATTTTCTGAAAACAAACTGATTCGAATGGAATTCTATTAAATGTTTGATTAATTGATAATCTTTTTTATTTTTCTTCCAAAATATTCATCAATTTTCTTGTATTGAAAAATCGTTAGATTTCGAAACAAACTGAAAAAAAATGAAAAAATCCCCTGTACAAAAAATTGAAAAAAAAAATTGTCCAGATTTTCTATTTTCCAAAACTCAAAACCAAACATATATAAAATGTTGAATATGAAATGTTCAAACAGCCAAACAGAAAAAAATGAAAAATTAAATTTTTCTTCTTCTTCTTCTTCTTTTGCTTTGTATCCTTTGATCGATCTGTGTAAATCGTATGTTTGTTTTTTTTTATTTGCCCATGATCAACCATTAATCTACAATGATCTTTTGATGATGATGATGATGATGATGGTTGAACTAAATTGAAAATTGAAATCGATTCATTCAATTCATTCACCATATGTATGTCGACATAGCCGATTCTTTCCCTTTCCCTTTTTTTCGTTGTTTGTCATTTACAACCACAGAAAATAATCATCCATTGTCGAATAGGAATGAAAAAAANTTTTATTTTTTTTTTGTTCCACAGGAAAATCTGTTTCAATTCAATTCAATTCAATCAAATGATTTTGAATTTTTTTGGTGACAAAATTATCAATCTTTAATCCAAGAAACTAGATGGCAGCACAGGTTTCATTTATCAATTTTCATTTTTTTCATTTTGAATCGCCGAACGCATCGAAAACCAGAAAAAAAAACCCAATAATCAACAAAAACTTTGCGAAAATATTAAAGATATTCAATTGAAAACAATATGTTTATCACTATGTTTTTTTTATTATAATATTTTGTTGTTCAATATTTGTTTTGTTTTTGTTTTTT